CATGCAGAAGACAGCTGCTAACTGAAAGGCAGCTAGCTAAGTCACTGAGTCACCTGAGCTCGGATCAAAGTCACCCGCCCAACCACATGGGGCTTTGTGTCAAAGGAAAAAATTCTAATTATGTTAAACCACTGAAATCTGGAGGTTATTTGTCGTAGCAACTTAGCATTAATCACCTTGATTAACACAGTCACTCAATCGAAGGCTGTGTTCACACAGTGAGCTTCACCCCAGGGACAACACCTTTCACTGACATCAGGAAAAGCAGCCAAGAGAAGCAGCACACCCAGACAGGGTCCCACTCAGGGAACTGGTCATTCTGCAGGTATTTGGACCAGTGACCGTGGATCAGAAGTCATGGTCTGAACTCAGTCACACCCTCTGAGTCCTTTCAACTCTTCCAGCTCTCCGTCTTCACTGCCCGGCCACTGAACCACGCCACCATCACTGTTTGCCTAGCAGTAATGTCCTCCAGCTCTCCCGGCCTCCAGTCCTCCTCTTCTGACCTCACCCAGCAGCTGCTCTGACCCACCTAAAATTCCTGTATGATCAAGTAAAATCCCTTCAATGTTTTACAAATAAACACGATATCTTAATTCAGCCCTATGTGACTGACCGTCCCCCACTCCTGCAGTCATCGACGACCCCAACACACACGTGTGTGTGCACAAGAACAGGTGCACATGCACAAGTATGTGCTCACACACACACACACACACACACGCATGTAGGTGTGCACACTGGCATGCACGCGCTCCAGCCATGATAGATTTCTGTTATCTGCAGGCACCGTGTTACCTTGTCTCTAGTTACTGGCGAGTTTTTGGCCTTAGACGCTATTTTATCTTTTTACCCTCTTGGTCCTCTTTCCCCTGACCTCACTGGTTTTCTCAGATGTCCCCCCAGCAGACATCTCTGGGGGTCTTCCCTGCTCCCCACTAGGCTGTGTGCTCCTGGAGAGCATTCTCCAGGGCAGCGTGAGGGCCCATTCATTCTTCAAGGGGCTGAGACTCGGCACTGGCACAAGAACACTGGAGTGAAGAGCCAGACACTTTTCCCCCTTGGGCTTCAGTGTGCATGACAGTAAAGACCCCTGGGAACCTGATTGAGGGCTGAAGTAAGAAGGAGACTCACTGGCATCACACAGGTGGAGTACCAGGTATGTTCCGGGTGCTCCACTAAGTTTCACCTGGATCATCTCATTTAACCTTCAAAACAGTCTTGAAGTAGGTATTATTACCCTCACTTCACAGATGCAGAGGTTGAGGCCCAAAGGAGTTAAGTGACTTGCCCAAGGACCCACAAATGTGTGAGAACATCAGTATTTGAATTCAGAGCCGTTCTCTTCAAACCCTGAGCTCTGGCCAGGCATGGTGTGAATGGAATGAGTAGAGACATGTAAACGGACAGAGATGGTATTCCTGTTGTGTATAGACTTAACTGAATTTGTGTGTTTACATATCTGATTCCATCTCCTGGAGAAGGGAGGGCGCCGGTCCCGTTAGTCTCGGGAGCTCCAGTACCTACCCCAGTGTCCAGCATGGATTGGGTGCTTTAGACAAGTTGGTTAAATGAATAGAAGGAAGGGAAGAGAGAAAGGAGAGAGGGAGGGTAGATCAACTCCGTGTGCGGTGGGGCTGGGGTTCGCCTGGTGCCTGTACAATCCCACACTACGATAAAGTCAATCGCAAACCAACCAACAAGCCTCACCTGGGGTTCGAGTAGCTAACAGGGGAACTCTATGGATTTGAGGACTAAAAATCGTTCTTGGTGTAGTTCAATGTTGTACCTGCTGAGGCTATTATTATGGGTTAGAAGGTTAAAAAGCAAAGCTGCTTTTATGTCATTTCGGGAAGCAAAGTATAAAACCAGGCACCCTGGAGGCACCCTGGAGGCACCCTGGACTGCTATGATTGTGGGGGAGAGGGAGAGGTCCAGTCCTGCCAAAGGCCCCGCCCCGACTCCCTGCAGCCTAGCAGCCAGCGGAGGCGCTGGGAGCACCCCCCCCCCCTGAGAGGGCACGGACCTGGGTGGGAGTTGGCAGCCCCAATGAGATCCTGCCTCCTGCTGCCCGGCAGGTCTTAGGGGTCTCCAGCCCTGGCTTTCACCAATATCGCTGACATTCCTGAGTCCAGGCCCAGCGGGTCAGAGCAGCTACCATGTCAGGTGTGACTAGTAAGCAATGCAAGCAATTGTAAAGCTGACACACCAGGACTCGCTTACCCAGATGGGCTTCATGGCTACAAAAATGATGCCCAGGCAGGCGCCACCCTTCTCAGAGAAATTGGTTCTCATTCCTAACGTAAGCACTCTATTGGTCTTCAATATCTCCCCCAAAATGGCAACATTCCCGGCGAGTGCCTGCATTCGTCCAAAAATGTAAAACCAACTTCAAACAATGAAGATGTCATTGCTGAGGACCTCTGAAGGGTGGCCCCAGGCCCCAAGGCTGGGCTGACGTAGGGAGCTATGGGCCACCTGTGGCCGTGGAGACCTGGAGCTAGATACAGGAGAGAAACGAGCGTCTCATTTTCTTTCATTTTAAAGAATTTAACCTTAAATCTAAAAGCTGAAATGGAGAAAAATATTCCCCCATTAATTCAATGTCACCGAAACACTTTTAAGTATGTTTGGAGCCATGTATCAGGTATATGAATCTATTTTTCAACTGCAACTTTTATGAGATCATAGTGTAGATCAAGTGCCGTGGAAATTTAGCCTCCAGTTGAGAAGCATCACGAGTGTAAAACACACACTGCACGTCACGGGCTTAATGCAAAGGGAAGGATGTAAACTACTGCACTGGGAGTTTTATACTGATTGTATATTGAAATGATAATAATTGTACTATTTGGAATGGGAAAATATGAGTAAAATTATTTTCATCTGCTTCTTTTCACTTTTTAAAAACGAGGCTACCAGGAAATTTCAAAGAACATATGTAACTCACAATATATTTCTACCAGACAGCCTTTCTGCAAAGGGTGTTTCCAAATGAGGCTGATCATGTTTCCATCAATAGTCGTTTTGTTAGAATAAATCTTTAACTTCCTGGAAGTTAAAAAAGTGAAATTGTTCAGTTGGATGCAAAGCCAAAAGGTGTCTTGGAAAGGCTTCTGGAAGATAGAGGTTGACTGAACCCAGAAAGCACCTTGGAGCAGCTTTCAACTGGGTGGTGACCACCCACCCCCACCACCCCACCACCATTCCACCACGGGTAACTCCAGCTGTGACAACATGACAGCCTCACCCTTCATTCAAACCATCTAAACAATTTCAGAGGGAAGATGAGTCCCTTTCATGGCTAAGAAAATTGAATCTCCAGGAGAACAGGCTTCATGATGGAACTCAGAAGAGAAGGAGCTGGATCTGAGGCCAAGGACCATGTTCTTCCCACAACTCTCCTGGCAAAGTCTTCCAAGAAGATTAAATAAACTAATGTAAGATTTTTTAAAAAGGCAAACTACACCCATAATGGTGGCTGTTTAGGCCAATCTCCTGCCTTCCCCACACCCAGTAGACCCAGAGAGGCGTAGGGATTGTTTATGAGCCATGGCAAACAGGGAGCTCCCACCCAGGGCACAGACTGTGCCAGGACACTCCCTGCCACACCAGGAGGCTTCTCCTGGGCCAAGGAAAGGCAGATGAAGGGCACATCAAAGCCAGTCATGGTGCGATGGCATGGAGGTGAGATGCCACCTGTAGTTGGCAGTGGGCGAGTAGTAGGGACCCTTCTGATGGAGTGTGTCCTCTGTGGGCACACTGAGCCGTGGGGTAACTCTTGACGAGATGTGCCCTGTGTGTTCCATCTGTGCATTTCACACTACAGCTGTGCACTCGCAATGTGCTGCCAGGGACAGACTGAGAGAGCAGAGCTGGCCTGGGCGTCACAACATTACCATTGTCACCATCAACGTCAACGAGAGCAATGACAACCATGATGATTCTTTGAGACCATAAAGTACAGCCAACACTGTGATTGGTTCTTCATCCTCCGCCTCCCTTGATCTCCATCTCCAGGCTGGGACAGCGGCTCTCCTTCCTGCCTTCCAATGGTACTCGCTGCCTTTTAAATTGCGTGTTTATGTGGTGAGACTATAAGTAGGACAGAGAGGGGCCTGTCTGGGACACAGGCAGTAGACCTTGCAAGGATGTTTGTTACTGAAGTGACTTTAAGGGCAATGGTGCCAGGGGTGGGGTTGCCTGGATTCCACAGCTGGACTTGGTCCTGAGTCTCCTGACACCCTGGCCTGGGTTCCTTCCAACCTACCAACAAGAGCTGACCATCTGCTTCTGGGTGTGACCCTGGGCACTCCATGGCCTGTGTAAACTGCTTTCTTCCTCTAGCCCAAGACTCTCACAGGTTTCACCAGCCACACCTGCACTTTGGGAGGTGTCAAGTAAGTGGCTGCAAAAGAACAGGAAGGTTTCTGAGTCACAGGAGGCTGTGAAAAGGCACCTGACCCTGGTGTAATCCAGACTGTGGTTCCAGTTATGTGGGGAGTCCAAGAATCTCCAAGAAGAAGAGACCTGAGAGTCAGAAGGACAGACTCCTAACCATCCCAGTGCAGATTTCGTACTGAATACAGAGTGCAAATTAATCCATTATTCTCTCCCCTTCTCCCTTCTATGGCCTGGGCCCTGTATCTGAGGAGCAATTCTGGGTTCATTCTGCACCCCCACCTTTGGTCCTGGCGGAGGCCCCTCGATGGTGGACCTGGGTGAGGGAGCCTTCAGCCGACCTGCTCATGCCCCTCCACCCCGACCCCACAGGCTTTCTCTCCACGTTTAGAAACCCAGGCTAGTACCTCACACCCATCAGGATGGCCACTACCTAAGTAAACTTAAAAATAAATAAATGAATGAACATAACAAGTGTGGGTGAGGACGTGGAGAGATCAGGAGCCCTGTGCCTGCTGGCGAGCGTGTACCCAGTGCAGTTACCATGGAAAACAACATGGCAGCTTCTCAAAAACTTAAATGTAGAATCATGCACTTACAGATGGTCCATCGGTCGGTTCTACTTCTGGGTACATACATGAAAGAATTGCAGCAGGATCCCCAGGAGATGCTTGAACAGCCGTGTTCACAGCAGCATTTCCACAATTGCCAAAAGGTGGAGGAAGCTCACCATCTATTAACTGAATGGATAAAAATGGTAGTATATGCACACAAAGGAATACGACTGATTTCTGAAAAGGAAGGAAATTCTGAGATATGCTACTACACGGCTGAAACTTGAGGACATTGTGCTGAGAGAAACAATACGGTCACAAAAAGATAAATGCGGTCTGCGTCCGCGGAGGTGCGGTACCTGGAGGAGGAGAACTCACAGACAGAAAGAGGAACAGTGGCTGCCAAGGGCGGGAGGAGGGGGAACAGGAGATGCTTAATGGGCGCCAGGTTTCATCTCTACAAGGTGAGAAGAGGTCTGGGATGATGGTGTGAGGGTGGCAGGACAGCCCCTTCCTCCACTGGTGACGCCTGCTGGGGCCACGCACGCTCCAGTCCTGCCCATGGGACGAGGCCTCTGAAGCCCACACGTGGCAGTGCATCTTTACCCTCGGGCCGAGCCTGCCTCTGCCCCTCCCTCCCTGGTAGGTGCCATTTGAGAGAGAGAGCAGTTGCCAGCAAAGTCCTGAGTCACAGAGCCACACACTCTGGACACGGGGCTGGGTGTGGAGGATTTGCTTTCCATTGTCTGACTGTGTCAACTTGTCTCGACATGATTTGCATTGAACCAAGTGACAGGGAACAGGACAGACCAAGAGCAGCTGGGACATGGAAACCAGGTAGACAGAACCCAAGTGAATTGGAGCAGGTGCTGGGACAATCCTAGCTCTGGTCACACAATTAGTGAAGCTGGCAGGAGCTCTGTGTCCTCTGCAAGTGTTCATCCTCCAGAGGGAGAGGAAGGCTCAGCTGGCCCTGCTCACTCACATGACAGTCAGGACCCAGCAAAACCAACTAGTTGAACATTTGCTTTAGACATGGGCTTCGATTCCTCCTCATTCCCTTAGGACAAAGCTAATAATGAAGTTAAGAATAATGAAGTTCATCGAGGCACGGTGGTACATACCTATAATCCCAGTGACTAGGGAGGCTGAGGCCGGAGGATCTCTACTTCAAACCCAGCTTTAGCAATTTAGGGAGGCCCTAAGCAACTCAGTGAGACTCTGTTCTAATAAAATATATAAAAGGGCTGGTGTGTTTGAGTGTTTTAATATGAATTACAAAAAAACAATTGTTTATCTTTTTGTACCTTTACCCTATGTTCAAAGTTGTTATTATTTTATGACTTCAGCTAATCAATTCTTTATCTCTAATTCCATGATAACTTCAAACACATTGTGAGAAGAAAATCCTGGCTTGGTGGTTAAGAGACCTTGGGTTCAATCCCTGGTACCCTGCCCCCCCCCCAAAAAAAAATAGTGAAGTTCACTCTCTCAGGCAGAGCCAAGGGACCTAGAATTGAAAGACACTCCCTCTGTTTTGCATCCAGTAGCATGAAGAGTTCCTGAATAAGGAGTGCAAAGTTCCATCCAGGGTAGCAGGAGGGAGAGAAGCGGCAGAGCAGGCTGTACGTAGCTAACCAGCACACACGACTGCTTTACGCCCATGCAGAAACCCGAGAGAATGCTCTTCCAGTGCATGCTCAGGCACACATGCATGTGACCACACGTGCAAATCAGATACGTCTGTGCAAAAACCTGCACCCGTACACTCACAGCAGAGTTGCTCTGTGCACGAGTTCCTTTAGGTACAAGCCTACATCCTCATACCAACACATGGAACACACTTATTTGAAGGTGAACTTGCATTTGCTTCTAAGTGTGCACCTGCACCTGCCCCCACATAGTGAGGCTCTGTCCTGACTCCTGGGCTCAGGCCTCATCCATCTCCTGGGTTTCCTCTTTTCGCTTCCAGAAAGGGAAAGCGTCAGAAAGAAATGGAACATGTTTCCTCCACATGGGGATCCTGGAAAATGTATTTCTGGGGATGGGGGAGATTTTTGTGTTATGATTAGAATTTCTGGTGTTAGAGCCTGTCCTGGATCAGTTCAGGTGCCTCCCTGGCCACGCTCAGCTGTGCCTTCCTGTTGTTACCAAAAAATATTCAAGGAAATCTCTGCAATCCATAAAACCCTATACCTTTAGAAAGCAGGTTCTGGTTTTATTAAAAACAGAGCCAAGTGTTCTCTTGCCGTCTTGGGGACTGGTCCATTCCCAGACTGGTGCTCCTTCTCTCCACCTGGCCATGCTGGCTGGTTGGCTGACCTGGACCCCTGGATGCTTGTGCCAAGAGTATCTTGCCCGACGTGTCCTGTGTCTCTCCCATCCTGGCCTGTGCCTTTCTCCCTGGGGAGGTCAGATGCCCCTGGTTTTGCTACCCATAGCCAGGACATCCTGCATGTCCAGGAAGGCAGGTGGGGGGTTGCTGCTATGCTCCCATTGGCTTCCTGAGAGAATGACCCCATAGGCATTTTGGAACTAGCTTCTCCAAAGACTGACAGAGGATGCCTGCAGATGTCCACAGCCTTTGAAAGTTGACTAACAAACAAGGAGCTAAGGAAGAAACTCTTCTCCCTTCCCTGCCATGGTCCCTAACCTTCATATGGCTTCTCTGAAGCTGTGTCACTATGTAAGGAGTAATGGCGAAGTCACCATCCACTGATGTGAATTTTATTTCTCTCCTCTCCTGCCTCACTTCCCTTTCTCCATCCGTCTTGCTTCCCTGGAACTGCACAAATAAAAAAAGAAGTGCTGTGCTAGGCTTTTCCTCAGACTCTCTTTTCTGGAAAATGCAGGCCAGGAGAATCTTCCATCACGTTGAGTTCCTGACTCTGAAGCGGTGGAAAGTGATTTGCATCCTCTGAGTGTACGTTGGCTGGCCTATAGGACAGGGCTCATTGATTGACCTTCTCCACTTCTGAGTTAAGATTAGTTGAGATGATGTATGTGGAAATATTTTATCTTTCCCAATAACAAAAGCAGGTAGAATATTTAAGTGATCTTCTCCCAACTTTGCAAATCTCACATTGGGAATTCTCTCTCTCGTGGGCAGCGATCAGAGTCTTTTGCTGTGTAATTGACCATGGACCTTCTCTGAGTAGTCCACAAGGGCTGAGCCCTGCCCATGACACTGTCCTGTCCTAGACTCCGGACATGTATTAACTTGTGGAATTCCCACAAGGTGTGTGATAGGTAATATGTATCATAGAGAGGGCATGTGTCTTGACCTAGACACACAGCCAGCAGGGAAAAATGGGGGACCAGAATTCAAACAGGCCCCTCCAGAATCCATGCTTTTCCAACATAATGAGCTGCCGGAGACAGGATGTAGTGTGTATCTTGGTTGTTGGATCACAGCAGCCTCTGCACTGGTGAAAAAGACTTTTGGCTTTTTTATTGGGTGCATACCATGTTGGCCCTTTGTGTGTGTCATCTTAAGTCATCCTGGTCAGTAACATGCGTGGACCTCAGCCGGTGTGTCCTGCAGCCTTTCACTTCTTCAGTAATAGCGTTCTGAGCTGCTGGTAGGAAAACCACTCTTCCATCCTCAGGGTCTATGTCATTCAGCAAGGTGACCTCACTGCTGCTCCCAGTGGAGAAGCAATCAAAGCAAAAGCCCATCCAATACAGCACGTCCCACTGGCCCCAGGGACTGGATCACCAGTGAGCCCAGGACCAGATTCAGAGCAAGGAAAATGAGGCCCCAGACCTGTGTTCCCACTGCAAGAAAGGGAGTAGCTTTCTTTCCTACAAGGTTTGAATCTGGGAAGGGGAAGAAAGCCTGAAACTATTGGTAGATTTTTGTGCTATGGAAAATAGGACTCATCCAACATTCAAAAATAATGTTTTGCTATTACAAGAATTGTATTTTAGGAAGGAAGGGGAGTAGAGCATTGTTTCATAATATACCATCATCCTCAGCTTCATAAAATAACTAACAAAAGTAACACATCCCCAAGACATGCCTCCAACAATTACCTTTTTTAGCTGTTGTTTGTATGATTTTATTATCTACCAAATATAAATGGCCATGGGAGACGGGAAAAACAAAGGGTTTCCAGATGTAAGTTTCTTAATTTTTTAATGAATAAGTTAGAATGGGGTATAATCACATTATCAATGTAACAGCTTCACTAATCTGGGCTAATTTTTCTCACATTTTTATGTATCCAACAGTTATCTTGAGTTATCAAGGGCAAAAGGGTCTCACAGAACTCAGAAGAGGGAGAAGAGACCTAGAGGAGCCACAAGAGGAGAGGAAAATTGCCACCCACAAGGACATAAGCAAAGAACCTTCAAGGATGGGGACTTCAGAGCTGTACTAATGACATGCCCTTGAAAGGGTAATAAGTAGATTGGGGTCTCCAGAGGAGGAGAACCAAAGGCTTTATAGAGATACACAGGATGGGTCACCATAGGCCATCTGCAAGCTGATTGGATGGCCTGAGAACCCAGAGGCCTGACGTCCAAGGGCAGAGAAGATGGGTGTTCCAGCTCCAGGGGAGAGTTTATCCTTCCTCCACTTTCTTATTCTACCTGGGCCTTCAATGGAGGGGAGGAAGCCCACCCACTTTAGAGACCATGCTTTTCTTTACTAAGTGATTCAAATGCAAATTATTTCCTGAGATTCCATCGCCCATATACCAAGGAAGAACTTCACCAGCTATCCGGGCAGCCCTTTGCCCAGTCAAGTTGACATAAAATTAACCATCACAAAAGGGATCACAGCATCTGCCCAGGAGAGTGAAGCCCTGAAGACCTGGAAGAAGATCCCCCTTTGCTCCAGGGAGTGAAACACAGTGACCCCTGGGTAGCTGGCTTGACTTACTGCAAAGCATCCATCCATCAGCCCACCTTGCTACTTGGTATGTGACATGAGGTCCCATATGGGATGGAGGTTGAGTCCCTCACTTGCCCACATGCTGCTTCTGAGAGCAAAGCCATCCCCCAGAAAGGAGGGGTAAGAGATGGAGAAAAACTGGATTGTAGCAAACTCCCTGGTGCTCCTGGACCAATCCACACCCAGGCATTTTGGTTACGTGAGCCAATATGTCCCCATTTTGCCCAAGTCCTTTGGAGTGGGGTTTTCTGACTCTTGTAATCAAAGGAGTCTGTCTGATGCAGTTGGCATGGCTACCCTTGTATTACAGAGAGAGGAACAGAGTTCTGAGGGCTTCCACCCCCTGCCCAGGAGCACATATAGGATGCCTGGCAGGGTGGGACCTGCCCTGGATTGCCTGACTGTGAAGCATTCATTCCTCAGCAAGGCCTGCTGCCCAGAAGGTGCCTTCTCCCCTGCTGCCCGGGAGGCTCCATTCAGAGCTCCCTTCTGTCTCTGATCCCTTCCCTTCTGCCAGGCACCCTACTCATGTACTGGGGCATCATTCATTCATCATCCATTTATCACAGGTTTAATATGGACTGGACATTAACGTGGGGTTTGTAAAAGAAGCAAATAAGACACAGTCAGTCCCTTAGAACAGTCCATCGGCCCCTGTCTTGCCTCTGATTTGAGGTCAACCCTGCAACCAGGCACACCCCTACCTTCTCACACTCTCGAGTGCTATAGCCTTTTAAGGTCTCTGTGGGTCACCCTTCCTTTCTTCCCGGTGCTGCTCCTTCTTGTTCCCACGTGACCAAGTCCTACTCATCCTCCAAGTCCTGGCTCTCTGACTGTCCTCACTCCATCGGCCAGAATGGCCCTGTATCTCTTAGACAGCTCTGTTAGCTTCTCTGTTCACATCTGTTTTTCCCATGAGACTGGGCCACTGGAGAGCAGGGGCTGCCTAGTGACCTCCTGTCCTTACAGGAACACGACACTCCCAGGAAGTGCAATAGAAGTTTGTTGGACCCCAGCTGCAGTCGGCTGGCTAGATGACCCTGCAGATGCTTTCACTTCACCCTTTCTCCTTATGATTAAATTAGGCCGGGTGGAGTTTTAATGCTCAATTTAGAAGCAATAACGCAACATGACTCTAAGAAAACCTTCTTAAATCTCACTTGGTGCTAGTTCAGTCTGACTCTTCCGGGGCAGGTGGTCCCTAGGGTGAGGGGCCTCTGGTGGCAGTTTCCTGGGACCCAGAGCTGGGGGTTATTTTCACCAGCTCCCATTTCTGACAATGCTCTCTAGGTGCACTCGGGGTCCTTTAGAAGTCTGGCTTCCTCACCCTTGTCTATGAGGTCCCTCTTTCCTACTGCCCCTGGTGTGACAGGATCCTGGGCTGCTGGAGAAACCAAATCAGTGCCTCTGGGTGGCACGTTGGTCCCTACAGTCCACAGTGCCTCTGATGTTTTACTTAATTTTCCATCACTGTGTTAAACTTGGAAAATCAACTGTACTTCAAAACTAGAAGAATGACGGTTTGGTTTGTGAAATGGAAGAGATCCTTTTTCCCCTGATGAGAATCTACTCTGTAATTCCGTACCCTGGAAGATTCAAACGCAAATTGTCATTTACTAAAACCAGGAACTGGGAGGTGCCCAACCCTGTTCATTTTTGCAACCTCAGGCAGGCTTCTGGCCACAGAGTCTTGGGGTCCTCTCACAGTGAGGCCAGGCTTGGGCAAGTCACCCTCTCTTCTGCCACTCACCAGGCATTCCCACAGAATCCCTAAGAAGGGGACATAATTATGCAAATGAAGAAACTGAGGCTTGAGGAGTTAAGTAGCTCTTTCTTGAATTTTTGAATATTTTATTTAAATTAATTTTAACTGATTCATAAAACCATAGAATTTGTTCATATTTATGGGGTTCCATGAGATATTTTAATACATTTGTACACTGTGTGATGTTCAAATCAGGTTAACCTTATCTATTTCCTCAAACATTTATCATTTATGATGAACACATTCAAACTCCTTTCTTCGAGCTTTTTAAAAGGCACAGTGTGCACTAGCACCCCAGAACTTCTTATCGCCACCTAACTGTAACTTAGTACCCACTGATCCAGTCTATCATTTGTGACTCCCACCCCTGGTGCCAATATCCCAGTGGCCAACATCCTAATCTCAGATGCTGTGAGGTCAACCTGTGTTAGATTCCACCCAGGAGTGAGATGATGCTGTGCTCGTCTTTCTAGGTCTGGCTTATTTCACGTAACATGATGATCTCCTGTTCTATCCGTGCTGTCAAAATCACAGGATTTCACTCTTTTTCTGTGAATGAATTGTATTCTGTGGTGTATCTGTACCACATTTTCCTTATTCACTCATCAGCTGATGGACACATAGGTTGTTTATATTTCTTGGCTACTATAAACAATGCTGCAAAAAGCCCAGGAATGCAGGTGTCTCTTTTCCATACCGATTTCATTTCCTTTAATTATATACATGACAGTGGTATAGCTGGACCATGTGGTGACTCCATTTTCAATGTTTTGAGGAACATCTGTATTGTTTTCCATAATGGCTTTACTAATTTACATTTTCACCCAACAGTGTGCAAGGGTTCCCTTTTCTCACGTTGAAATAATTTTCTTTGGGTGACTTCTATTATAAATCGCAGAACTACAATTTAAACCCAGGCACACTCAATACCACATCTAAGTTAACCACACCCAACAAAAAGAGCTAAAATTGTGCTACCTCAGAGCTGTATAGCTTCATTGCAGAGGGAAGTAATGTCCCTCCCAGTTCCTTTACCATTTGAACTCATTATTATAGCATTCTTTAAAATGACTCTTTAAAAAACAATCAGCCTCATTCAAACATTAATGTTTTAATGTTTAATGTCTCACTTATCTCTGAGTACCCAGGAGTTTTTCAAAGACCCCAAGTATGTTGATAACTTCATAAATACAATATCATTAGAAAGAAAAGGACCTATTATGATTTAGATATGAGATACCCCCTCAAAAGCTCATATGTGAGACAATGCAAGAAAGTCAGGAGGTTAAATATTTGGGTTACAAGAGCCTAAATGTAATCATCATATTAATCCACTGACAGGGATTTAACTGGGTGGTAACTATAGGCCAGTAAGGTGTCTGGAGGAGATGGGTCATTGGGTCATGACTTTGGGGTATATAGTTTGTCCATGGGGAGGGAAGTCTCCTTCTGCTTCCTGGAAGCCATGCGCTGAGCCTGTTTCCTCCACCACAATACCACCGTGATGTTCTGCCACACCTCAGACCCAGAGCAATGGAGCTGGCTGTCTATGGTGGAGGATTCTGAAACCATGAGCTTCCAGATAAATTAATCGTCTTCTAAAATGGTTTTTGTTAGACCGCCCACACCAGCCCACGTGGGACCCAGGCCCAGGTGCACCCCTCCACTGGCAGGCACCGGCCAGAGCCCAGCCTCCAGCACAGGACTCATCTTCTGACCAGCAGATACCACAGGAGTCCAGTCCGGTCCAGATCTGTCCACACCAACTTGCGCAGGACCCAGGTCCAGGGTAGGTCCGAGTTTGTCCCCCCCACTCCCCATCTGGGAGCCTGAGCTAACCCATTTCCATCTTGGGACACTGCAGACATAGCCATAGCCTTCCCAAGCAGTAGCCCCTAACTTTTTGACGACAGACAGGGCCTAGAAGCAGCTGCATCTCAGAGCAGGCATCCCAAAGGGAGTGTGAGGCCCACTCTTTCATCCCCATCTCTGTAACACATTGCTTCCATCTTGGGGCACCAACACTGTTATCTCAAGTTACCTCTGCTATTGCCGCCACCAACCTTAGATGCAATAGCATACAGTGAGGGACACCAGCAAGTTCTGGGAGCACAACATCAAGATGAGGTACAGACAATCTGCACAGGTACCACAAGAATATAGGGAAGACACTGTAATATCTCAGATTCACACTGCAAGAAAGGAAGGCACACAGACAACATGAAAATCATTGCTAACTGTACGCGTTGCAACACCTTTGAGCCACTTGTTCACCTTTCCAACCTCTCATCCTGGCACCCCACACAGACCCTCACTCTCCTCCTGACCTAGCTCAGCGACCATAGTCCACGTCTCAACCACTTCCTTGAAAATGCTCTGAGCTCTTTGCACTCCTCCACCCGCCACCACCCATCACTCACCTCTGATCCAGGCCCGATCCTCACTAACTCACTTCTTTGTCCATGCAGTGGCCTGTACCTCAGGAGTATGGGAGGAAAACACACCATTTTGCAGGTTGCCCTGACTTTCAGCCCAGGGTGACAGATCTCAAACTGCATGAAAAACGTTTCTACAATCCTATCGTCCTTTGTCCTTTACAGAATGACGGCTTCACATCTTCTCTCGTAGGGAGGGCCTACATTCTCTTCTCCACACCTGCACGTTGTTCTCAGCTTATGATTTTGGTTGCTACTTCACACCAGCCACCCACAACAACCACTTCCACCCATACCAACTACCACCCTATGTCCTCTCTATATTTCTTCATTTTATGAAAAAGTGACTCTAATCCATATCAGCAAGGTCCCCACTTGTTTGTATAGATCTCATTCAACCTCATCTCTAAGGACATTACTTCTGCATTCTCTCCTGCCCCGCTGCCTCCTCAGTTGTCTCCTCTCTCCTGATTATCTCTGTTAACACACCAAATGCTCTAGTATCTCTATGATCTAGAACAAAGTCCCTCACACCGTGTCCCCCTCCCTTGCTCACCTGGGATTCTCTCCTCAGTCATGTGTTTGGGTTCCTGCCTCAAACTAACCAAGACTGTCCTTGCAGGGTGCCGGCAACCGGCCAGCAGGTTTTCCTGCAGCGGAACACCTCCTCCTTCTTGAGTCACTTCCTTCTCTTGGCTGCCGCAACTCCACAACTCTCAAGTTTCCCTCCTAATTCACGGACTGCTTCTCCCCAGCCCTCTCCCTCTTGCTCTTCTCTTGACTTGGGAAAGTTGAAAACTCCAAGGGTCCTTCCTTTCCATTTAACCCTCTCTTTTCTGGTTGTAAATATCTGATTACTCACCACACCCAGGTCCCTGCTTCCAGCACTTTCCTCTCCCTCACCCTTTGACTATTTGTGTGTGTGTATATATATATATATATATCTGCTTGGCATCCCAATTGAATTTCAGTGAATGTCAAGGTTAATGTCATTGAAATGGTATTATTGATTCCTGTCTCCCTAGCGTCCCTGGTATTTTTCACTATGGTACGGGGATCCATTTGCTCAAGTCAAAACACTAGAAATTATCTGAGATTCTCTTTTGCACAAACCCCACACACAGTCTTTCAACAGCTTTGTGGTCCTTGCTCCAAAACCTATTCTAAGCCATGTGTCTGCTCACGCACACCTCTACAGGCCAGGCAAGCCACCTCCTCTCCTCTCCTCTCCTGCAGGCGAAGACCAGGTCTGCAGCTGCATCTTCTGCGTCCACTCTAGTGCCTTGCAGCTCTTTCTTCTCCTCTGCAGAGAGGTCAGTTTAAGACATAAGTAGAGAAGGCTACTGCCTGCTTAAAACCCACCACTGTCTGTCTTCTCTTCATCTTTGGAATAAAGTCCAAACTCCTGGATTGTGAAGATCAACCCAAAAGATCCTAAACTGGGCACCAGGCGTAGGGAAATCTGCCTTCGAGTTGGCAGGAGTGAGTCGGCAGAAACTGCTGGAGAGACACCAGCCTCTGCTTCCCATCTGAGGCATTGGGGGACTAGCATCTTGGGCTCGTGGCTGGGTCCAGGAATAAGAGGTGGCCCAGCAGAAGACACAGCGCTTCATCCCACTGGCTTGGAAGCTGTGGGAGCGATCATTCTTCTCTGAAGCACGTTTATCAGTGAAGCCTTTGTCAACTGGAAATATCCAAACTCTTTTTGCTATTGATCAAAAAACATCTCTTCAGTCTGGCCCCCACCCTGTCTCGAGACTCATGCACCTGCTCTCCCCGTCCCCCAGGACCCTCAGCCTGGTCTTGTTTCGTTTCCCATCTTCCACTAACTGCTCCCTCTGCCAGGAAGGCATGGCCCGGCTCCCCCCCTGGCTGCCCCCTTTCTTTATTCCGCTCTCAGTGCCACGTCACTGATACACGGAGAAGTTAACTAACTGGTCAACCATCAGTCATTCACATCGCTCTGGTTTCTATCTTTTTAAAATCTAGCATATGTTCTGGAATATATATTATATGCAAATTCAAAAAGTTTTATGGGGAAAATAAAGAAACAACACTTTTTCTGCTCCTTTTCCCAGCCATTCCAGATACCCCGGAGGTAACAGTCTTGCTTGCTCCTGCAGGGTTTCCCGCCTACTTTATGCCATAAGGACACATATATTCTCTTCTCTGATTTTTCCCATAATCGAGGGAAACAGACTCTCTCACAATTTGCTATTTTACTAGATGCCAGAGCATCCTAGACGACATCTCATCGTTCTGTCTGTTCCACTGAACTCTTTTAAATAGCTTCAAACTGCTTTCCTTCACGGACACTCTATTCTCTGTTCATAGGCATTTGGTACTTCCACTTTTTGACCAGTCTAATGATGCAGCGAGCCTTCTTGTACACATCTCAGTTGATTTGCCTACATGCTAACACATTTCTGGGATAAATTACCTAGGAGTCGAACTGCTGTATCAAAGTGAATGCAATTTTAAGTTTCGATCCCTGCTGCCCATTTGCCCTCCACAGAGCTCGCCCCATGCAAACTGACTCCAGCTCACTTTAATCCTCTGCAGAGCAATCACCACTTTTCAGGACTGTTTGCTGGTTGCTTATCTACCCCCAGGGTGGAAACCGTTCACTGCTGCTGGACTCCCATGGCATAGATTATTGTCTGGTGAGCTTTCAATGAATGGATTTGGAGTAAATGAATAAATAACTCAAAATGGGTACAGGGAAAGAGGCTTGGCATCCAAATCACTTCAGGTTCTCATCCTGGGTCTGTCCCAACTGTGTGGTCTGGGGTAAGTTACTCAATCACTCTGAGTCCTATTTCCTTACCCAGTAAACAGAGATAATAATAATCCCCAGTTTGAAGACTGACTGTCTCAACCAAACAAGACTATCCCTGTCTCAAAGCCTTTATATCCAGAGACAGACCCAGACCCCGGAGAGTTACCAAGAGCTGCCTAGTGGGAAACTGTCACCAGCTAAAAGTAAACCCTAAACCAACATGGCCCTTAACCTCTGTCATGGCACTCGTTGAACCCCACAGACTTCCCATTAAAACTGTGCAGACCCCAGGGTGGTTTGGTCCTCAGGGCTTCTGCTTGCTGGTGCTGATTGACGAGGAGACCCACTTGCCAGGAAGTACTCCCTTCAGAGAAGCAGGTGTCTGGGCCCCAGGATGAAGGAGCAGCCACTCCGCCTAGCAGTCTGTCAACCACCAGCACTAATTTTCAAGTCCATTTGAAGAGACGTCTGACAGTTGGGTTGAAGTGGGGCAGGAGTGGAAGGGTGTGCAAGGGTCAGGGGAGACAGCTTGTCTCTCGGTCACAGGGTTCTTTCCCAAAGTAGAGAGCAGCCCCAGAGGGTTCACAAATGAAGATTTAACAGCTCCTGTGGGAACCAGCCAGAATTAGCTGTAATTAGGACTCGCAGGCCTTCGCATGAACTGCATGCTGAGAATGTGAGTGTCTTATTGGGGAGAAGAGCTGGCTGGTTTCCAGAAACCGGGAGGCATGAGACGGCCCTGTGGTCTCTGTTTTAGATGGCTATTGACCACTTAAGAGCTGCCCAAATTGAGATGCGCTGGCCTGACAGAACCATTGCAGGCACTGCCTGCAGCCTGCTCCCCAGGAGCTGGTGATTGACAGAGAACTCCTTACGGAGGACAGCGCCTAGGAGCAAGCCGGGAGTCTGCACCCACCGACACAGCCCAGAGGGTCCTGGGAGCAGACGCCGCGTGGGGAGCGTTACAGAAGAACAGAGGAAAGCGAGGGTTTAGAAAGTCTTTGTGCCCAAAGCCCAAACAAGGGTGATCTAATTGGGATATTGATGATCACCTTCCTAATCAAATTAGCTTCTGCTTCACATTTTCCAGGTGTCAGGGAGCATTCTAAGAGTGTTAAAAGTGTATTAACCAGTTCAATTCTCGTGACAATCCCCTGCTGCGTTACAGATGAGGAGGCCAAGGAGGAGGCTTTAGGAGACTAACAAGGTCACTCAGCCAGGGGCTGCCAGGTCTTCCCTGGGCCTGGGCACTCTGACTCTGGAGCACACGCTGTGGCACTGCAGGGTTCCACTTGGGAAAGCCTGTAAAGTGGCAAATATTTACTATCTGGCACCTGACAGAGAGTTTGCCCACATCTGTTCCTGCACAGGAGTTGGGGGAAGTGGAGGAAAGAGCAGGAGGAGGAGGAGGAGTGGGAGAGGTCCCCTTTCTCCTCCTTTATCCCTTTCACTAAGTAAAAGTTCCTGCTTTACTCTGATTGGACCAACCTGAGCCAATCATTGTGGTCAGTGGTGAGACCACCCCTTGGCCAGTACTGAACCAATCACTGCCCACCTTTCACTAATCAGAAGCACTACTTAGAAGGAGGTGGAGTCCTGGGGAGGGGGAGCCCAAGTCCTCTCCCCACTTCACTCCAGGGCAGGGGCCATCACCCACCACCTGCAGACCAGGTTCTACTCCTGCCTGGTTTTTAAATAAAGTTTTGTTGGAACACAGCCATGCCCCTTTGTTTAACATGGTGGTCTATTGCTCTTTTGGCACTGCAGGGTTCCACTTGAGAAAGTCTGTAAAGTGGCAAATATTTACTATCTGGCGCCTTACAGAGAGTTTGCCCACATCCGCACTCCAGAGAACCCCGAATGCTGCTGCTCAGGTCTTGCAAATCTCTCCAGCCCCTTTGCCATAGGCATCTCTGTTGTTCAACTTCCTGACTCTGAGCTGGCCAGGGACCTTCTGGTAAATCAACATTTTAGGCTTAGCTAAGAAAACTGAGTCTGTTTATATTGCAAACCATCCAAAAAACTTCAGATGCAGAGCTCCAGCCCCCACACCTTTGAACACACACACACACTCTTAGGTGTGTCTCACACTGTCCTCCTGGGGAGGCCCCCACAGTTACCCAGCATGAGACTGGGACAGAAAACAAGCCCCTTTCAGACCCAACCTTGAAGTCCTAGTTCCCAAGGGAAGAATGTGTGCAAACGGCTTCCTGCCAACGCCTGTGGGGCCAAATATCTCTAAACACCACTAACCCAGGACACATTGGCATTCCCAGCACACGCTCCCCCCCCCCGCCCCGTGCTTTCACACCCCCTGGCACCAGCCTGTGCCCAACCATGAGAGACGATTCCTGACTGCCCCACATCACCTCTCCCTGGGGTGTCTTGTTGCCTTACAGCCTCAGTTTAACATCATGGTTTCCCAGGAGGCCCCAGCAGCTCTCGGGGAAGTGTGAGCTACCAGGCCGCAGAGCCACACGGGTGTGCCTGGCCATCCAGGGGAGATGGGAGTTTGTAGACACCCCAACGCCAGAGTATTAGTGCAGTGTTGGGGGCATTCAGGCTCCTCGGGCAGTGCACATGGGGTACCCAGAAGTCCCCAAGCTGGGTGCAGAGCGGGACAGCTGGACACCAGCTACAGAGGCCTCTTCAGTCAGTGATTTTCATAGATGACTCAGGCTTTGGGTGCGACCCAGGCTGAGTGGAGAGGCACTGCTGAGGGTGGGGGGCAGGGCAGGAAGATGGGCTACAGGACGTCCAGGCTGGGAACACACAGGGCACCGGAAGGGCACACTCAGATTGTGATCATCACTGACGGACAATGCTGTGTGGTTCACACGTGTGCGATGGGGTTTTGAGAGCTTTGCATATATCTGTTGGTGGGATCCCAAAGGTGAGTTCTATTATCTTCCTCAAGGTCATGCACAAAAA